AAAAGGAAAGGGGAAAAGGGGGGAGCCCCCCCCCCCTCCCCCCCCACAACGAGCGCGCAGAAAAACCAAGAAAACCTTCACCGGAGGAAGGGAAGAAAACTTCACAGAGGAAGGAGGAGATTTTTATAATTTTTGGACTTGTTTAAAGTCTTTATATTTTTAAAGTGGCTTTAGTTGCAATTTTTTGTGTAATGGGTATTTTGGGAAATTAAATTTTCTGTAATGTTTCTATAAATGAATAGTTCTGTACAAACAGAATTATTCTACTTAATTTGTTTTATATTATCATAATTTAAACTACCAAATTATTTCAAGTCTCTTTGTTAATTAATTTGTTGTTTTGAACGATTATTACACATCACAACTCATAGTACATGAACTTCACTTTTTTAAGTGTATGCTCGATTTACTTTATACTCTATAATTTTGATGCATAAGAGGTAGAGAATATACTTCACGACGAATTAATTACAAATATTCATATTTAAACAACTTTACTCTTTTCCTAGGTATTTGTTTGAGTTTAGAATTAACATTTTTCAACTAATTTAAAAAAATCTTAGCCTCTCTTGGGTAGAATCTATAAATTATGTATAGATGATCAAATTTCATTTTCAACTACACATTTCAATAAATCTACAAATATTATTTATTTATCCAATACTCAATTATATTAGTATTTCCCAGTCACACATTTCTCAAAATTTGAACTACGAATTAATATTTAAGTTATTGCGTTTCGCATCTTATATTTCATTTCCAAAATTTTGCAGTTTCATCATGTTTAGATAACTTAAGTCTTGTTTGATGTAGATTTTTTAGAATAAATTTTGTGACAAGCAATTTTTCGAAGAAGGTTTAGTTAAAAAGTAAGAAAAATGTATGTTTACACGTGCAAATTTATTTTATTGAAAGAGTATGTGTTGAAAATGAATTTGAGAAAAAAAATAGTTTTAAGGATTTTGTATCAAATATGAGCTTATTCTCATTGACAGAATTGTTATGATATATCAAAAACAACATATTTACAAGACTTTATAAAAGAATTTTAAGATAATATACATTTTCATCGACAAAGTTTAAATGATTTTCACATTTTTTATCAATTATATTAAGGGATTTTCTGATAAAGTTTTTGACAAAAATTTTAGCCCGTGTCTGAGCTCCATTTTGAGGGGAAAAAATGTATTTTAGAATAGTGAATTTGGGAGAGTGTGTGGTTGAAAAAGAAAAAAAAAATTAATTTACACATAAAATTATTTTATTGAAAAACGTGTTGTTGAAAATAAATTTTGAAAAAATGGGGATCAAACATGCTTTTATCTAATTTATGTAAAATTAATGAAATATAGGGTTAAAAAATTCTTAAAAGTTATGCTAATATATGATTACGAGTAATTGTTAAACTTTCCCAAACAAGCACTAAAACTCACAAATACATTATTAGGTTGTGTTTGATCCACATTATTTTGGAAGAATGTATTCTGGAATAATAGATTGATGGAGAATTTATGATTGAAAAAAAAAAAAAATTATTGATGTGATTGAAAATATTATTTTATTGAAAAATATGTGGTTAAAAATGAGTAGAAGAATGAGAATGAAAATTTTAATGTGTATCAAACAGAACTTAAATTCCACGCTACAATTCCACACCGTGGATTTATATAGTTCTTATTTCATGGTGCCTTATTTAGTGAGGTTTAAAATTAAAATTGTAATAAAATTAATATAATGTGTAATTGAAAAGTCAAGAATCTCATTAAATATATATTTAAAATTAATTATTAATTTAAATTTAAAATTTCACCAAATATATGGCCATATTTGTTTCGAACTAAAATCAGATTTTAATTTAAGTCAAACTCAAACAATTAATGTTAACCACATTTTCCATGTGTCTCACAGTTTTTCAATCACACATTTCAAAAACTTCTATCACAATCTACTAAAAATCTAATTTTAGGTCAGGCCATGTTTGAGCCAAATTATTGTAGAATGAGAATGAAAAATATAGTCGTTATTGAAACACATATGAGAGAAAAAATGTGAATTTAAGGCACCGTTTGGTAACCATTCTTTTTTTCATTCTCATTCTTCTACTAATTTTCAACCACACATTCATCAATAAAATAATATTTTCCATCACATCAATACCTTTTCCTTCATTTTCAACCACAAAAAA